AGCGATGACGAAGATAACAAAAGTGACAGCCGTTCCAAAAAAGGTTAGACATTTTTTTATGTACTGATAGTCTTAGAACAGTGTTTTCATCACAATCGCATGATATATAAGACTGATAGAGTGGATTGAGTTTGTCTAATTTGTATTGTAAAGTTACATGTCATTGAAAATTTTGACTTGAAAATAATTTAAAGTTTGAGAATCTTTCTTGTCGCTACTAGTTAAAATGAGTCCATATCCAAAGAAAACATTTTCATTTAGTAACATCAGGAATAATACCTGGGTACATTTTTGTATGTTACTTTTTTTTTTTAAAATTGTAAAATTTATTACTATTTTTATCACATGAACAATTGGCAGTCAAGATTTCAAATGATGAACTGGCAAACAACAAACTAGAAGCCCATTAAAGTAGATATCCTTCACAGACACTGGAGATGGATAGGTCACACCCTTTGCAAGCTGCATCCAACATAAGGCAAGCCCTCACCTGTAACCCCCAATGAAAGAGGAACAGGGGACGGCCCAGGAATGCATGGCGCCGCAATTTGGAAGCAGATGGGCAAGACGTGGGGGCAGTTAGAGAGACTTGCCCATAACCAAGATTGCTGGAGGAAGCTGGTTGGTGGCGTATGCCCCAGACAGGACATGAGTAGACATGAGATGATGACTGATTGATTAACGTAGGAGAAAATAAGGAGAAAGACCTAAAAAAAAAAAGAACTTATAAAATCTTTTTTTGCAAATTTTTATATATTTAAATAGATGGTTTAAAGCTGGCTTCCTTGACTAATGTTCAGTGCAGAGCTAAGCACACATAAAGATACGGCTAAAGGTTTCCATCAAAGAATCTGGAATTACATCTCTTAACTGGAAAAAAAAATTAATATTCTTGGAATGAGCTTTGAGATTCTAACTCTCTATATAGCTTACTATCTAATAGGTAATAGCATGCAAAGAACTTAAGCCAACCAAAAAGAATCTGTTGTTCAAGTTTCCTCGCTTTATGTGCATAAAAAAATAAATATACATTTATAATATTATAAAATATTGTAATATCCTTTAAAGGAAGCAACTCAACACCAAGGGAACAATGACAAACAAGTTTGATAACATAGATAGATCCCAAAACAAGACGAATATCTACAGCCATCAATCATTGCACTTCCTCTTCCTCTCTGTTCATTTAATCTCTTTATAGTACGCTGGTGCGCAGCCATAAAGCCACTTCAGAACATGGTTATTACAATATGCTATTTAAAATTAGGCTCATAATTTATATGTTCTTAGAAGGCAGTTGAGAAGCAGAATTGAGTTTGTTTTCTTTTTATTCATGTTGTTTAGTTTTAAATTTTGTCCTATTTTTTTTTTCAGGAGCCTCTGTGCCAGTTAAAAAAGGATCAGATATTAAAGTTGCAGGATACTTAAATTTGGCTGCTGACTTTGCTCACAACTTTACAGATGGCCTGGCCATAGGTGCATCATTTTTAGCAGGACAAAACATTGGCATTATAACCACAGCAACTATTTTCCTTCATGAGATTCCTCATGAAATTGGTGACTTTGCTATTCTTGTCCAGTCTGGATGTAGCAAAAGAAAGGTAAATGTTTTGACTGTTTTTAACCTGTTATGCGCATATATATATATATACTAGCCTGACATTACCCACGACCTGCGGGTCTAAGTTTGTGTTTACTAATGTAGTGGATTGGATTTAGATGTATGTTAAACGTAGCTAATGATCCTTTCAAGTTTTTTCTCTTTCGCTACGAAAATAAAATTAGTTTTGCGAAAATGGGTTTACCTGAAGCCAATAAATACATATCTAATAAAAACAAAAAGAGCGATAGCTTTGTTAAATGAATGGGATTTTAAAGTAAACAATTAAACGAAATAATTTTTAGTACGCGATTCATGAATGAATATAGGCCTATCGCAACCCGGCTTCACAGCTTTCGTAAACGAATGTAGTTTATTAAAAATGCTTTAGAAAACCAAATTTGAATATTTATTTTATCAAAATATGAAATGAATGGAATGAAATAGTATGTTCATGTGTTAAAGTATAAAACTATGTGTGCGAAGAGAAGTTTTATCACCTTAGAGTTGAATTAGAGTTTTAGATCTAGGGATGGGATTATTAAGTAAACTATTAAACGAATTAATTTTTAGTAAGCGATTCATTACGGTATTGTCTAATGAAAGCATGCTCATCAGGAAATCTGTAGTCACAGATATAACGAACTAGTTAATGCAAAAAATGCTTTTGAAACACAAAATTGAAGGTTCATTTTATTATATAATGAAATCAATGGATCTTCTTTTGTATTTTCATGTGTCAAAGTAAAAAACTATCTGCGCAAAGTGTATTTCTTAAAATTAGATCTAGGTCTAATTTCGATCTTTTCTCATGTCAACATTGTAGGCATGGCCTAGATCCATAAAATACTATAGCTGTAATAGAGTCGGACAACTTTTTGTTTTAGGGTCTTAAGTTTGTTTTAGGGCTACAATACATACACTAAGGTCTAAGTTGGTACCCAAGAAACATTCCTGCCGAGTTTTATCAAGATTGGTCAAGCGGTTTTGATGTCTAAAAGTAACATACATACACCTCACATTCTACTTTATAGTATAGATATATAGAGAAGAATAATTTCTTGTTGGTTATTTCTTATTATCAGTAAATGTAATAATTGTAAAATTCTACATTGTCCCAGAGAAATAAAAGTTATTTTTTATCGGCCTTTGCTTAGTTTCTGTCTATCCTTCTATTTGTCATATATTATATGCTATTGAAAATGCCATACCTCTGTAATATTAAAGATATGTGCAATAGTTACTTTTTTTTTATTATTTGTAAATCAGTTAAAACAATTTTAACTGAAAAAAAAAAAGGTAAAAATTACTACTACTAAACTAATTGAATCTATATCAAATAATAATTTGATTTAAAAAAAAACAACAAATTTGAAATATATATATATACCTTTGAGAGTATCTATCTGCTACTTATGGTTTACCAAAAACTTGCATTTTTATTTAAAAAAAAACTATGTTCCTCTTAATGTGCTTATTTATTACACATTAAAAAAAATACGAAAATAAACAGGGGGGTTTATGTTATTTGATAGTTCTGTGTTAACTACCTATCAAAATAGCAGGCAGTACCTATTCAATATATACAACAATCCTGCTTGTGCTGGTGGTATTAGGGTAGGCTTCAAACAGTACCATTGGATTAGGTATAGAGGAAGATAGGATTGTGGTAATTGATAAGTTTGTAGTGATAGTTTCTAATATCCTCACATGAATGTTACTCAAATGTACGTTTAGTTCTTTATATTAGGAATTACTGATGTAATATAATGTTACCTGGGACATATTCACATGTCAAAAATAAAAAGCTCGACTATAATCTTATTACACCCTCATATTTGTCATAATTAAGAGTATAAAACCTGTTCTTAGACTTGCAGAATTTATGAAACAACTTATCCACAGTTCCCCCTAGGAGTTTGTGTGTAAAAAAAACAAATTGAAATTCCTTTTGTTACCATGTTTTAAAATGTTTGCTTTTTAAAAAATTCCTGGTACTTTTTAAAAATCAAATTATTACTTAAAAAGATTTGTGCTATTTTAAGTAATAAATAATTGTTATTTTTATCTTGTCCTCTTGACTAGGCCATGCTTCTACAACTGACAACTGCAGTGGGAGCCATGCTAGGCACACTTTGCAGCTTATCAATGGAGGGTATTGGTGAAGCTGCCACTGCTTGGATTCTTCCATTCACCGCTGGAGGGTTTATATACATAGCAACTGTTTCAGTAATTCCTGAACTTTTGGAAGACACCAAGATTGTCCAGAGTATAACAGAGATCATAGCCTTGCTTGTAGGAGTCTACATGATGGTTATTATAGCAGATTATGAATAGTTTCTTTTCTCTGCCATCAGTTTGTTTTCTTGTTAGAAACAGTACAATCATACCAACACTTTATTAGTTGATGAAAATAAGAGATTCGAGCTTTAAGTTGATATTCCGCTCATTTTGTATTGAGAGTTCTTTTCATTCCACCACCCGTTTTAATCAGCATCTCAATTAAGTTAATGACTTTGCCTGATGTAACTTTGCCTCCCTTTGTAGGCACACTGAAGTAGTATCTGTTACTAGGTGCAGTGTCAGTATACATTGGAGTCATTTAAATGTATACTCTCTTAATTCACCAACACAGTAGAACAAAGTGGCTGCAATGTACGTTGAACATCACTTGAACATTGTGATATGTTATACTACTGTTTGGATACAGTTTTGTTACAGTTAAGCATTATCAGGTGCACAGTGTGATTGAAATTTTAAAATGTTTGGTGAATTGTATGCTGTGTTTACAACGCTATTACAATGGAATTAATTTCAGTTTCTGTAACAAAGTGATACATGATATAATTGAGATGTTTTAAAAAGTGCACATTCTTTTTTTTTTGTCTATTGTGTTCACTATTTTGTCATAAATGCATACATTTAAGTTCTATCTATTACTACAATTGTATAACATGCTTTTGATTCTATTTGTAACTAAAGTCTTACAGATTCTATCACTACTATTTTATTATTAATTGTTAATTATTTGAAAGAACTTAGATAAATCTTTAAAATCTTCAGTTATCCACTACAAATGGTTAAGTCTAATAAGAATAGAGAAAAATAAAAGTCAAATGGCAATTAAGGAGTTTGGTATTTATTGAAGTAGTTCATTACAATTGCTTGTTATTTATAACAGTTTTAATTACTTTTTTTTTTTCCCTGTGATTTCTGTGTACTAATTGTTGTTAATTTTAAAAAATTCTTTGTTGTTTCCTGTGGGTACAGTCTGTGGTGGAGGTTTTTATGACGTTTACTTTCTTCTCTCATTCATATCAATTTATAATATTAAAGGAAAAATTTGCAAATTTTGTTTGCTTTTATGTACCAGCAATGTGATGACATGATGAGATTGCTGATGCTGACCTTGAGTCTTGATTTAATTGTGTGTAACTTAAAAGTAAAGATTCAAGTTGAGTGTATTTTTAAATGGTCCATTAACTTCAATGTTATATAAGTAAACTGGTCAGCATTATTGACTAGTTTTATATATATTATAATACAGTCAAGAACAAAATTTTTTAGAAACTAAAGTTGGAACAAGTAGATAAGTCATTTTATTTTTAATACCTACTTTGTGTGACAAACTTGTCTGCATTTAACCAATGTAAGAAAATTAACAAAAGATATTTAGATTTACCTGTCTGCAGGTCAGAAAAGTCCCAGTAATAAAGTATAACTATCAAATTTATCTTTTTTAATACTTTTTTGTGTGTGTTTTGCTTTATGTGTATTTTATATTTATATTAGCTGTTTATTTGTTGTTTTTTCTAAAATAACTTTAAGTATGAACAAAACTAATTAAAACTTGAGCTGTCACTGTCAATATCGTGTTGAACTTTTTGTGTACCATTACCCATTTGTTAGTCTACCTCCATATAATAATGTTATTAGCAAATAATAAGCAAAGTAGTGGTAATCGAACCTTCTGTACAAAAATAATATTTAACATTTTGTAGCTTGGTGCATAATTTTAAATCCCATCACTAAATTAATGCTTACGAATATAGAAAAAAATTCCTTGATGTTCCTTCAAAATTGGACATTAAAAGATACACATTCACAATTCTTTTTCCCAATGATGAAGATATGTGTAAACCTACGTAATATAATAACTCAAATATCTTAACAAATGGCAGAAAAAGTACTTGACGGGAAAAACACTGAAAATTAATTATAAACACAAGGGATATTTGAATGAAAATGGTTTTCGTGTTGTAGTAATTCTAATTTGAGTGATACAAACTGCACATTGCCAGTCCCTGTTTGGAGAAAATGCAGAATGACAGTTCCATTAGAGAAAATGGAATTATTTAACTGCACAAACTTGAAGCAGCCGCAATGATGTCTTGAAATAACTTCTTTAATAAAAATCTTCAATTGTTAACCATGAGCAAACATGTCTTAGTTTTTACTAGTATCTAGTAAAAACATAAGTAGGTACTGGATTTATTTATTTTGCTTTGCACACCAGTACAGGTAGTAAAAGCAGTAAAAAAATGTTTTCTTGAAAAAAGTATCTTCAGAGAGAATTTAGTTGGTAAAGCATATGAAAGATGTTGAGGTTAAAAGCTTAGTAATGCAAAAAACAAACAAACGAGGTTTATGCTAATAAAAAAACCCTGTCTATTCCATCCAATACTAATGCCAGTATATCAAACTGGGTTAATCTTATGAAACAAAAGTTATTGTGCCAAATTCGGATCTTAAGTAAAATTTGAAGAACATGTTACACAGTAAATCAGTGGATCTCAACCATTTGAGAACTATACTGTTTTTTACTCTGTCAAATATCACAAAAAAATGCCTCAACTACAGACTGCTGACCATAAGCCTGTGATGCATTGTTACCTGGCCCCTAGAGACTTCTGCCTACATCAAGTAATGAAGCTGTCAATGGTTGGTCTCACTAGACTCGACATTTAAATTTTTTTTGTGTGTGTGGTGATGCTCCTAGTGAGAAAGGTCCCCAAGGGAAAAAAAAAAAGTTCATCTCCACTGCACTGTCAGATCAACAAAGAGATAGACAATAAGGCCATTGATTACTATTGCATTACAATCATTTGCATTTTTTTTTTTACATTTATACCATTTATGCTAGCTTGAAAGTTTTATAAGATCTACTGATAAGCAAAATTAAGTTATCTGTTCCTGTGGCCCAATTTTATTTTTTTGGTTTTGTTGAAAGCAAGATCAACTGCTTTTACTAGAGCATCCAACTGAGGCCTCATATCCCAAATAAGAATCCTATTGTTTTTAACAAGGAGGGACAGGTGTGTGTGCACACTGAGATCAAACACTTCGTGCCTTTTCCCTCCACAATTGAAATAACCTAACTAAAGCAACAGATATGTGCTTAAGTTGAAGTATAGGGACAATTAACATTAGGTTTCCCTTGCAAATGCTAGAAAAATGAATCAAGACACAAAAAGAACACAGGTTTCATTCTTGTTCACCAAAGTTTTAATACATTGCATCAATGAGCAAGCCACAAACTTTATGATGAACTTTTATTAATTGATAATTAAAAACCAAAAAATACCCCATCATTAAAAGTAAGGAAAAGATTTTATTATTGTTTTTTTTAACCTAATTCTATAAGAATATTATAAGAGAATTATCAAGTAAAACAAAAAAAGTGTTGTTTTTTTTAGTATTATACATAATAAAAAATTATATAATTTACAACTATTACTGATTTTAAATAAATAGTGGTGTGTTTTTTTTTTTTTATATATAAAGTAAGTTAGTCCAAACTAACATAGCCTCTAAAAAATGTAGGTATTTGACCATTTTTGTTTTTTTACAACAAATGTAGAAGTAAAATTAATGTTCCACCCTTCACTTCAAATTATATAAATACAGAATCAACAAACAGTACGTCAAGGAGTCACTATTGCTGAGTAGAAGGCCTGAGGAAGGGAAAAAAAAAAGGAAATTTAAAAATAACATTTAAGTTAATCACAGACAATAATTATACAGTTAAACATGACATGAAATATTTCTACATCAGCAACTTTCTTTGATTCAACCCAACTTCACGAAATTTAATAACTTCAAGCTTACAGTTTTATTTTTAAACTGTCTCAAATCTAATTTCTTTTGTTTTTATATGGTCATAAACGGGCACAATTTAGCTATGATTAAAAAATAAATAGATACACATGTATTTTAGAGTTTTTATGTTGAGTTGGAGGTTTACCATGAATAAGAGATGTAGGAGTTAATGTGTCATAAGGTTTAGTAACTCCTAAAATTAGGCACCTCATGCATGGAAAGATTATTTTTGTTGCTAATATAGATCTTTTCAATAGTTTTGTTTTTGTTCTGCTATCATGTCATAGTTTATTTTCATGACTTATGCAATCAGGCGGTTTATTAAATTAAGAACATAATTGGAACAAAGATTGATCTATCATCAGAGTTATTGTTACATGATTACAGACTGGATATATGGAAGAACAAAAAAAATACTAAAATTTCTGTTTTTCAATGCAAAAGAATTCAGCTTTTCCAAACGCTTGAAAAGAGACAAATCTATTTATTACATTTCTTCAAAAATAGATTGAACCTATTAGCTCAAAAATAACCTGTTAACATGGGGAGAGAACTTTAATAGGTGTTCAGTAATTTATATCTACAAGAGAATGGATCTATAATTTCCTTCAACTGATCTTTTCCTCTAAAAAACATGAATATGCAAAGCATTTAGTAAATTGACCAATGTTTCTAAAATACTATTCTTTTCTTTAAAATTATAAAAGTTATTAATTACTTTTTTTCTCCCATCAGTTCAATGTTCCCTTATGTTTTAATGTTTTGGCAAGGTGAACCATTTTTTAAGTGAAATAAGCCTAAGCTCTTTACCCCCTTTTTTTTTATTTGAAGAGAAATGAAGGTCCTATTGTATACAGAGGTGTACTAGTTCCACTTACTTAGCCCATTCTACGTTGAGGATAAGATGATCATAGCCAAAACCAGAAACACCTTGAATAGCTCTGGATGCATCTTCTCGCCGATGGAAATTGATAAATGCGAAACCCTGTAATAAATAATTGTAAAATATTTTTTGTAAAAAAAATAAATAGGTGCTGGTACTCAGTGATTAGGTGCTGGTACTCAGTAGTTGATTGCCTAACATTTAAGAACTAAAAATTAATAATATACATTAAAATACAAGAAAAGTAATATTTTCTTTCAAAAAGGTGCAGGTACAGAGTACTGGTGCATACAGTCACAAAAAAAAAGCCCTGTATATATGATATACAGATATACATAGTGGTTAAGAAACATAAGTTAATAAAATGTTATTGCAAGCTTTTTAGGCAACAATCATCCTCTAGCCTTATTGTGTATCGTATAAACTAACAAAATGCAATGCAAACCAGATTTAATCTATTCTAGAAAGCCTTGTAATTTTTGGGAAACATGCTGTAACAAACTGTCAACTGAATGGTGTAGTCAATCAGGGTAAGCATATGTGGTGTGTTCAGTCAGTAGAAGGCCACATTTGTGATCTATATTATTTTTTTTTTACCCTAAATAGCAAGTTTTTCATGTTAAGTTTGTAGTAATTAGTAGTAACTATAAAATTAAACATATAATTATAAGACAAATTCATAGTAGATGATGGATACCCCCCCTTAGACATTTTAATATAAACATATACAAATAAGTTTAAAAAGGTAATGAACAAAGTAACTATACCTTTGATTGACCAGTATTCTTATCCTTTGCCAGATATATCCTAGATATAGGACCAAAAGGCCTAAAGAGTTCCTGTAAATCTGACTCTCTTGTATCTTCTGATAAATTTGTAACTCTGATGGTTGCAGCTTCATCTGAATACAACATGATTATACATTTCATTACTAAAATATCACTACAAAGCTTGCCCCTTTAACCATTATAACTAACCAATAGGTAACTTGAACAGACAGTGAATTCAGGTAGTTTTATAATAGCAACTTTTAATTATTGACTTTTAGAATTAGAAAAAATAAACATCTTAGAGATGTAATTAATTTGAATATGGAAGCATAAAAAAAAAAAAAGATGAGTCATGGTCTATTGAAATAAATTAATTTCTTGCCCTAACGATGGCAGTGTGTTTGGTTTCAGAGCATTATTTAATCTTCCTATTTAATGGCATGTCACATGTCAATTCAATGACAATGGGATGATAATTTCTAATAATATGAAATCCTAAAGAAGAATGTTTTGAATAACCTAACTGCATCCATGATATAGGATCTAGCCTGTTTCCCTGAGCAACAGCAAAGTATCCTGCCAACCCAGTGGTTGGTCTGACTTCAAATATTTTATGAATTAAACTATGCATTTATAATAATTTTTTTGGGAAATGTTTCTGAACTACTACAAGGTATAGTAATAATATGTGATTGCAAGCTGACTGCATATGACATAATCTTTTTTTTGAGTCTGTTGATTATAGCACAGCTATTATAGTTGTCTTTTATATAGGCACCTACCGGTACACACCTTCTAAAATATTTACAAATACTTTTCAATATGTAGTTAATATTTTGTAAAACAAGTTTAGAGACTAGCTAAACCAAAAATGATAATGAAACTATTTGGGTACTACTTGAGGGGTCCTGTATGGTCAACAAGTACTCCAGTTAATATAATTGTTCAGTGCATACAAATGTAAAAGATATTAATGTGGTGTCAAGCATACCTCCTTTTCTCTGATTGGACATAGTCTCTCCCCTGCCCTTGTTGGCACCCTCTCTTAAAGTAGGAGGAATATATTTTCCACCAGCAGGTTTGTTGGGTGCAGGAGATGATGAAACTGGAGCAATATCTGGCTTTTTGGCACCTTCTTCCAGTTTTTCCTAAACAGAGCAAAATAGAATTCAAAAAAGAATTATACAATTTGAATTTGTTTCAAAACAGTTTTAATATTCAAGTAGCCAAAACTACATTTACCTGTAAGGGTTGTAATGTGTCTTTGTATGGACATTTGGTAGTCCAATGGTCCCCTTTACAAATACGACACTGTACAATCTTTTGTTTTGTCAGTTTACTCAAAGGATCTTCTTCTTCTGGTACAGGGGTCTGGTAAAAAAAGTGAATGACAATTAATTTAAAAAAAAAAAAGATTTATGGTGGAGCAAATATAATAACTTTGTGATACATTTGTATACTTAAACTGCAAGACCAACTATTGTTAAGACAGAGGATTCCCAAGAAGCAAGTAAATTATGATAATTAAAACCCGGGCATGGTTAGTCACTAGGCTGTAGCTCTTGACAGGCTAATCTAACTAAAGGATTGGAGGTCTATTAAATTTTACATAACTTAAAATAAAAATTGAACAAGCTTCTTTTTAAACCAAGAATAAACTTGTCCTTTCTTTCACTTTAAAACTACAATAACAAACATCATTTTGTCTCTCATAATATTAAACTCAAGATGACTGTTCACCCCTTATTATAACCTAAATGGTCTTACTCATGGCTAAACCAGAATCTATTCAGCCAATATGAACAAGAATACACCTTCCAAAAACACCAGGTGCTTTTATTGGTATTAAAAAGGCTTGAAGGATAACTGGTATGATCACTTTAGAAAACTCAAAATTGCACAAGAGTAGTGATGTACTAGCTCAGTAGCTACTGATTACACACAAGTAAAGTTATACTACCAGGAAGTGTACATTTCTCTAGGCTCAACTCACTTAAGAGAACTAATTCAATAATACAAAGCTGCATGTTAAAATTGTTAAGTCCTTTAAAAAAAAATATGTGAGTGATTTAAAATTTAAAGAAGAAAATTGAGCACAAGAAATAAATACCTCTTTGTTCTGAACAAACTGCATAAAAACTTCTTCTGTCATAATTGTGTTAGAGGGATTAGGCCCTGGTGGGTCATTAGCTGCAGCACCATACTTTTTCCACATCTAGAAGTAAATATTGAGATCAAGGGATAAATAAACAATGTGTTGTGTTCAATTCTGTCATAGAACTTATTTTTTTTTTACAGAAGTGTCAAGTAAAACATATAAATATATATATATATTGACTAAGAAACAACAACAACTGATGAACTTACTTTTCTCTGAGCTATAGATTTAGAAAGTTTAACTGTTTCAATCTTGTACGTTTTGATGGTCTGTTAAACAAAAACAGCATCATTTTAACAACATAAGAATCTCTTATTACAATAACAATACTGTCTACACCATTAATTCAACTGAACAAGTCAAAGCACAACATTGTTAACCTTAATAACTTTCCCATCTTCATTTCTATACTCTGTAATTGTTTTGATTCCCCTCTTTTCATCAAATTCTTCTGTTGGAGGAGGAAGACCTGAAAAACAAAAATGTATACATTCTAGTTGGAAAAAGAATAGTAACTAGAAAAAAAACAAACAATGAAAATACACACACACACAAAAGTGTACCATTCAACATAATTGATTGTTCATAATGATAATACAATATTCTTGTGATTATATCTATTGAATAGATCTAGATTCAAATAAGATACTATAGTTAACTATAGATTCTACTTTATAGATCTTAGTATAATTATTACTTTTTTAATAATCTATATTTTCTAGAACTATATTATAATATAAACTCAATAAAGAGAGGTATAGCTATCTTTTTTAGAATATATAAATCTAGAATCTCAATTTGTAATCTAATCAAGTCTAAATTATTAATGAATCTTACCTCTAAACTCTAATGAGACTATTGTAACTAAATAATAGTAAATAAAGACAAAATTGATTGAACTGAAGTCTTTAGTTATTAATCTAAGTACTAAAAGTCTAACTAGATGGTTACTATATAATCTAGAATCATATCAGTAACAGTCTAATCTAGTCTAGATGTCATTGTCACAGTGAGTAGTAGACTCAAGGCTCAGTACATCTAGATTCTACTAGATCTAGTTTTAGACTGCCTAGATCTAAAATGACTAGAATGTACATCTAAATCATAGTAAATCTAATCTAGTCTAGATATCAGCTTTAAGTCTTTATTTTATATAGAAAATAAATTTATATTGACTTTATCCAGCTTTAAAGTTTAAGATTCTCTAGTAGTACTAGATCTAGTAGTGAGTGTAGTCTCTATAACTATATATAATATAGATATTATAGATATGCGATGACTATGACTAGATCTAACTAGACCTATTTCACACAGTTACAGTATGATGATATATATCATAGTTATAGAGAGAATCTATACTATGGAACTGTATGTCTAAGTCTATGTGACAAAGTGAGAGTCAGACACTTCAGACAGAGGTGAATTCATAATTCTAGATTAATCTAGAATCTAGATCTAGTTATATTCTAGACTAGTTTCAATTTGGTAATTTAACTTTTTTGTTGGCTTGTCCCAAACTGTTCAGATTCAATCATTCATGATTCAGACTGTTGGAAATATTCCTTATATTGGAATGCATGATGATTATGTAATATGTTAATGTAAATCAAGTAGATCTAATATCTAAATGTTGGGAGACTGGAGTCACTGAGTCTGACTGAGTTACTGAGTCATGGCCAGGACTGAGAATTATAGAATACTCACCCTCGTCACCTTGGTCGACCTGTTCGGCCCAACTTTTTCCGCTAGTCCTATGAGCAAATTACAAAATATCAGACATATTTTATTTTCAAAACAATTGAAATGATATCAGAGTCTATTTAAAACATTGCCATAAAAAATATTGCACTTACATCGTGTCCAACATGGATAATCTGTAGATAGCTAGATTATTAGAAAATAGTCTAGTGTTGTACTTCCGGTTTAATACTTTTAATGCATCACAGATCAAATTGTAAATTTGTAGATCTATTATGTTCATAATGTTGCCTAAAACAAAAAAAAAAAGTTTGCAAATAAAATCAGTGACCCCAAGATCATTTTTAATATGTTAATCATTTTTAGCAATATTTCTCTTAAGACCTAGACTTCTATTATATATATTTTAATTGTATTGCATTAACATAGTTAAACTTATTAAATGTTATTTTATTTAAGTAGGTAAGTATAGTTTTTTTAATGAATAATTAACCAACAATTTGATCTATCAATTTGCTTTTAAAGTCTGACTTTTTACGATCTATCCTATTTTATTGTTTACTTTATATTTCATTTTGCGAGAAAAACAACTGATAACACTCTTACCAATCTGAAAGTCGGTCAGATAATATTATTTACACTTGGCCTATATATAGACAAAATCTGGTCTAAATCAAGATCATTCAAAATATGAATCATAGTCATAACAATAACAATCTTTACTCAAGATTCGAGACCAGAGTGGATCTAGATCTACATCTTCGAAAAGTAAGTAAAGTAGAGTCTTGACTCTATATATTGTTTTTCTAGATCGTTGAAACTTTACACTAAAATTTTTCTAGCTCTATTTAGATCTATATATATATTATAATATATTTATATACACAGATCATTTATAATTATAGATTTGTTTTGTAGATCTAGTATAGATTTAGAAAACTCAATCAAGATTCAAGTCAAAATTGATTTGACTCATTTTGCTTTAAAATTTCATCACCTTCTCTGACTAGCTAGACAATCACAAGACAATGGTTTGAATGAATATAAAATACTAGTAAAGAGTACTTATACTTAATACTATACTGACTATACTATAGTCTATAGTTAAGTTGTAGCAGTATACTATAACTCTAGTACTAGTCTATAGATAATAGACTAGTCACTATAGAGTATACTGTATAGTATTATACTTTATAGGTAGGTACCTTGACAAAAAAATCAAAATAAATAATATATTATAAATAAATAATATTATAGTATTTATAGGATAGTCATTATATGATTATAGACTAATACACTGACTTCAGTACTTTCTAGATCTAGAATCTAGCATTCTAGCTAGTCATTCTAGACTAATCTAGAGTATTCTAGAGACATAAATTATAATATATTTTATATACTTATATAGTCTATATTCTAGACATATTCACATATATGTAGACTTATTAATGTAGACTCACTGTAGACTGTAGGTTAGGGGTTCTCAACCTGTGGGTCGCGACCCCTTTGGGGATCGATGGACGATTTGCCATGGGTCACCTAAGACCATCGATAAATGAATTGTTTTTGTCCATGCTGCTATTGCTATGTGTGTATGCGGAGGGTGGGGGGTTGTAAAAAGGGTTGCCGAGCCTAAAAGGTTGAGAACCGCTGCTGTAGGTAGACAGTGTAGATGGCTAGATGATAGTTATTAGTTACGATAGTAGATCTAGAATCTTTATCTTTATTTAGATCTAATTACTATAACTAATTATAGCACTATTTATTTATAGATCTAGAATTGAATATGTTTCCAACTCTTGTCTTAACCAACAATAATAGAGCATTTGAACAAAAAAGTTTATCTGGTTTTGTTTTTAAATTCTTTTTTTTTTTCCAAAGTAATGAGCTTAAATTATTTATATTTTTTTGTTATCAGTTAAGTTGAATATAAAATATCTCACTTACAACTACAAGTTAAAGAATGTCCGAGGGAAAGAAAGTGGTGCTGGCTTACAGTGGGGGCTTAGACACTTCAACTATACTGGTGTGGCTGATTGAACAAGGTTATCAAGTGATTGCTTACCTGGTAAAAACTTCTAATAATTAAATATGTTTTTACATTGATGACAGCTAAGTAGCCTTTAAAACACATAAAATGAGACCCAAAGAAAAGCCCTTGCCAAAGCCATGCATAGACGACAAAAGAAAACTATAATAGGCCCATGACGGACACAGGGTTTGTTTGCAAAATATACTGGTCAAAACTGGGTTTACAGGTCACGTAAAATAATACCTAATAAAATTAATCTTCAGTATCAAAGATAGTGCCTAATTATTATTATTATTAATCATTATTATTAAGCTTAATTTTATTATTGTTTGACTAAATCAAATTTTGTTTTATTTTGTAGTTTCCCTATTTCCATTTTTAAAACTACATGGGAATCGCTTATCAAGAGGGATGTAACTCTTAATTATAAAAAAAATACTAAAAAAAAATAATAATTTTTGATTTAAAAAATAACAACCAAACAATTATATAATACAGAACAAAAGTCAATAAACGACTTCAAAATATTGAAAAATATATTTAACGCCTTTAAGATAAGAGCGAGGTTCTTCTTCTTCTTCTAGCCAGCTTTATTACTGCTGAGCTGTGAGCTCTTTTGCAGACTGTGCCAAGGAAAAAAAGTGTGCTGTTTTCTTCAGTTGTTCAGCACTGCCGTACAGGGTGTTGGTTATGTTGGGCTGTAGTGGAAGTAGGGTCTGCCTAAGGTGGATTAGGGAGGGGCATTCAAAGAGGATATGGTTTACGGTTACAAAGTGGTGGGTGCAGTGTCTGTAAAGGGGGAGTTGTGTGGAGTTTATTTTGTTCAGGTGGTAATTTAATAGTGGTGTGTGTCCTGTTCTTAGTTGGAAGATTGTAGATTGTTCTTTGCGGGGGAGGAAGTTAATACTGTCCGGTTTGTTAGGAAGAGCGAGGTTAAAATACTTAGTATCCCTGGTGGGGTCTTATACACTGAGACTACAGTCCTATTCAATTCAAAATAATAACTCGCTCTTTGTTCTGAATGTGACATGATGAGCTCTTTTTAAAGGAAAGTTTTTAAATGATAATATTACTAGCATCCCAACTCTATTGCAATAGGCACCAGTGGGTTAAAAAGGATTTCTAGACTAAGCTAACTGAAAAAAAAATGGAATTTTAATATGTTGTTTTGCTTGTATATTTATCTAGTTGTTTTTTCCATGAGTAAAATATTATTTACTTTGTGATTATTTTATAATATGATATGTGGATTTCAATAGTTTTTACAAATAACTACTAACAAACATACATTATATAAAATATATATTGTAGGCTAACATTGGTCAAGAAGAAGACTTTGATGCAGTCAGAACCAAAGCTTTAAAGTTCGGAGCATTGAAAGTAGGTCACATGTTTATTTAATTAATGTTCAGAGCATTGGAAGACGGTCATATTTATTTATTTAATTAATGTGCGGAGCATTGAAAGTAGATCACCTTTATTTAATTAATAAATGTGCTGAGTTTTGAAAGTAGGTCACATGTTTATTTATTTAATTAATGTGCTTTCACTTGTCTCCTTGCTGAAAATGAGAACAATGTTCCAGTCATAATGACCACCTCAAAGCTCCAGCAGAATGTGAATATAGTAGCTCATGTAAAATAAAGGCCTACAAAACTGGAAAGCGGAGGGAATTAAATGCTATTTTACCCACCCAGTATGCTTATCATTTTAAGAAAAGATCTTGAGACACTTTGAATTGTTATAATTAATTCTATTCTATTAATTCAAAACACATTGAATTACATTGTAGATATCTAATCTAGATCTGGATTCTAGATCTAGAATCTAGATAATTTTTATACAGGAATAGATCTAGCTAGAGTCTAGCTAGTCATTACGTTAATTTAAATGTTATGAATCTCATGATTCTCTACATTACTCTACAATCTGGATCCAATTTAGTTGTAGTATGATTTAGATTGACTAGATCTAGATCAATAACATCAATTACCATCTAGACTAGATTCTTAGTCTTGGTATAGAATAGATCAAGGATGAAGGTAGGCCTACAAAAGTTTGAAGTAGACCTACATTTGTAGCGGATCCACGGCATCGGTTACACTCTTGAGCCCAGATCTAGAGTAGGTTATATTCATTATTATATAGACATAGCATAGATCCAGATCTAGTCTAGATATCATCTCTATTGATCTAGATTTAGATTGTAAATCTAATCATGACATCTAGATCTAATATTATATATATAATATATATATATATGACAAAATAGTGGATCGCGTAAGTGTTATGCAATTTGGTGCCAAAATACGCATTTTGACCATCAGCGTTATGCATTTGGACTTTTTTTGGTAGGCAGGTCTGCTATCATAGGGTTAAGATGTATTACTTTTGAGTTAGAATCTAGTAGTTAATTTGAATATTTTATATTAAATACAGTTTACTTTTGTAAATACAGTACAATACATTTTGTGTTTCCTAGTTAATATTTAAAGTTCTATATTTGAATTAAAGGATCTTCACTTATTCAATCTGCTAGATAATATTAAATCTAGAGATATAGAATCCCCGGCATGTCACATTAATTCATCTTATCAGCTGACATCTTCAAGTAAAGTTTATTTCATCTTATCAGCTGACAACTTCAAGTAAGGTCTACTATTTTAGCACCTCTCAGCACCATCAACGAATAAGCACTTCTTCAGCACAAGAAGAGAATTCGCAACATATTTAAATATATTGAAAGCAAGATAAACGTGTGACAGTTGTCCTTTAGTGCTTTATGACCCAATACCTCTTTAGCATGCTTCAGACATTTTAGCAAAGATTTATGACACCAGCTGTTTTGAAAGAATGTACTTCTGTTGCAGCACTGCTTATTGTAGATAAAAAAAATCTTATAAATTAAAACTAAAGCCAGTTCTAGGGATGTTTTCAATTTCTAAATGGAAAGCAGAAAGTTTCAGCTGACAACATTATCAAACTTGTTGAAAAATCTCCATTACATTATCAGATCATGTGAATTAATAAATAGATCTAGTGACCTAGATCTGTGTCCTAATTCTAGATCTAAAGCTTTTTGTTGTTATAAAAAAAAATTATCATTTCAAACATGGGTGAAGCAGCACTTAAATTGCATCTCAAATCCAATTAGCACAGGCGAGTGTCTGGTAAATTAGATGGCTGGCTGCCTGATGATTGCACTCTTATTTGTCAAAAAGGCTGCAACAGTGATTGTCACTTGTCCTACACCCATAGCTATGCCAGTAACCCGACAAAATCTAAGTCTTTAATAATGCAATCAATGATAAGTCTTTTGAGCACCTCATAGGCTGTTTGCTAGAATTGAAAGCTTCATCTCAATCGCAAAGATTTTGCAACCTTTTCTAAAAAAAAATATTAGATGTGTCATTGTTGCCCTTTATAGCCCATGTCCTCTTTAGCATGCTTCAGTC